ATTTTTATACCTAGCACAAGTAAACTTTTTTTCTTTTTATATTTACTACAATGCCTTACAACCAATGTGTGATTTCATTTCAGATTAAAAGGGCTATTGCACAAGATCATCTTTCACCATCAAACACTATCCATGAAAACAACACATATAACTTAGTGAACAGGAGATAGGATTGTAAAAAGATTCATTTATCAAAGCAGGCTATCCCCTTTCCTATCACAGACAATAGCTGAGATGGGGAGTGTAAGTTGGTTGTAGAAGAATGTAAGTTCCCATGAGAAACATTCCTTCCACTAGCAAAGAATGAACAGAGATCAAGTAACATCATGTAGCTTTCCCCCTGAACCCAAAGTAACTCCTAAACAAAGAGAACAAAGCAAAACAAAGAGACAGTTATTTTGCATGTTAGTGACAGTAACTATTAAATAATGGCAGAAAGGGTACATTTTCACATGAAAATGCGAATGTTTCAGGTATCATAAACCTTCCTTGATTTTTAGTGGTGTTCTCCTTCCAATATGGGCTGACAATGTGCTCACTGTTTTGTTCAGAACTGGTTCTATCTTTACTGGATATATCAAATCTCAGACAGTGTTCTTTGGCCGTAAATCTGATTAACCCTTAATTCTGAGGTTCATTAGCACAGTTTCATTTCTAACACCGGCTTCCAGCATGGCTGATTGCCTCTATGACCCCTTTTCGGTACACATTCCGAACAAACAGACTGTTCCAGAGCAAAACCAGGCAAGAGTAATTATGGTCAACAAATGTCAGTTCACATATGGAAGCCTCTGTTGACATGCAACAGTTCTGAGGCATAAAGAAGTATCAAAAGACAGGAGACTCCTCTTTTCAAACCCCTTTCCAAATGCTTGTGTTGAAGCCAATAGGGCTGTCAGCCTTTGGTGCTGGGGATCACAATCAGACATGGTGAAGACATCTGCCCTTGCGCTTTGCTACTCTGCTGCTGAATATGCATGCCCAGTGTGTTACACTATTTAGCTGGTATCGCACCACCTGACATCCACTGGGAAGTAGCAGCCAGCAATGAAAGGACCAAGGCAGTAACGTTTTCGGCACATCCTCTGTTTGAATATCAGCCAGCATAGCATAGCTTCCTAAGATCTATTTATTTATTTATTTATTTACTTTACTTGTATACCGCCGTTTCTCAGCCCAACAGGCGACTCAACGCGGTTTACAACAAGGATAAAAAACAATCAGTGATAAACAATTTAAAACCATAAGAGCATAGTATACAAAATTGACATAACAATAAGACAGCGTAATACATCTCATAACTAGAGTCGTGATCCAATTCGTCGTCCATATTTCCATTCCTGTAATCATCACATTCATTGCACTGTTATCCGAATGCCCGTTCAAACATCCAAGTTTTTAATCTTCTTCGAAACACCATTAGCGAGGGGGCTGATCTTACCTCCATAGGAAGGGCGTTCCACAGCCGAGGGGCCACCACAGAAAAGGCCCTGTCTCTCGTCCCCGCCAGCCGCACCTGTGAAGCAGGCGGGATGGAGAGCAGGGCCTCCCCAGAAGATCTTAGGGTCCTGGCGGGCTGATAGGCAGAGATACGTTCGGATAGGTAGCTTGGGCCAGATCTACAGAGATACTTGCAGGAACTTCAGCAAGCAAGGGTCCAAAAGTGGCAGGCTAAAACCTGGAACCTCAATCAGTGGCTGAGGGTGGATGAGAAACTCCCACAGAAGTGTGGATGGCCTGGAAGGCACTGAACAGGCTGCGCTCTGGCACCACGAGATGCAGAGCTAACCTTAAGAAATGGGGCTACAAAGTGGAGTCCACAACATGTGAGTGCGGAGAAGAGCAAACCATAAGACCGCCTATTACAATGAAACCTGAGCCCTGCCACTTTTGGACCCTTGCTTGCTGAAGTTCCTGCAAGTATCTGGTGTCTCACAGTGACACCAGAGGCACTCCAAGTGACCAGCTTTTGGTCAAAGGACATTTAGCATCATACAAGTTCTTTTTTTAACAAACTTTGTTTGTGTTTTTAAATGCATTTAACTGTTCCCTCAACTCACTTCTGACATAATAAATCTAGCCTTTGGTGCAGCTGATACTTTAGACTTGGACTCCCAGAAGCCCTGGCCTACTGGTCCAAGGGTCAAGAATTCTGGAAGCTGAGTCAAAACAAACAAACACACACACACACAAACAAGAGTACCATTGCAATCTTGTCTCTTAAACTGATATTTAGACACTCAATGAGCAGCATCAGTACTCAACCTGCCAACTTTTTAAAGTACTAACACCTTAGGGCAGGCATGGGCAAACTTTGGCCCTACCAGTGTTTTGGACTTCAACTCCCACAATTCCTGGCTTCAGGCCCCTGAGGCCAGGAATTGTGGGAGTTGAAGACCAAAACACTGTAGGGCCAAAGTTTGCCCATGCCTGCCTTAGGGGCACTGCCGAGTCTAGCATCAACCTGCATCTTTACCATCAGGGAGACTGAACCTGTAGGCATGGGACACAAAGACCTTTCTCCTGCTTCCCCTCCAACATCCTCACGGCTTCACCCAATACTTTCAAATATTTCCCTTTTATACTTTGCTTCCCTTTCTCCAGAATCAGCAAATGCTTCTCTCCGGATCCGTAACATGTTATGATATGAGATTGAGAAGGATTTTTAAATAAACATCAGGGTGGGAGAGGCTTCCCCACAGAGTTGACACAGAGCCCCGACCTTTTGACAGGGCAACCTGTTCCTAGCTGGCTTCCAAGGGAAAGAAGCAGAGGGTTTCAAAAATAGGAGACGTCTGGCTTGCTAGCAGTACGTGTGAAAAAGATCTTGGAATCCTCATAGACAACAAGTTAAACATGAGCCAACAATGTCATGTGGTGGTAAAAAAAAAGCCAATGGGATTTTGGCCTGCATAAAATAGAAGTATAGTGTCTAGATCCAGGGAAGTAATGCTAGCATTCTATTCTACCTCGGTCAGACCACACCTGGAATACTATGTTCAGTTGTGGGCACTGCAATTGAAGGGAGATGTTGACAAGTTGGAATGTGTCCAGAGGAGGGTGACTAAAATGATCAAGGCTCTGGAGAACAAGCCCTATGAGGAGCGGCTTAAAGAACTGGGCATGTTTAGCCTGCAGAAGAGAAGGCTGGGAGGAGGCATAATGGCCATGTATAAATATGTGAGGGGAAGTTATAGGGAGGAGGGAACAAGCTTGTTTTCTGCCGCCCTGGAGACAAGGACACAGAACAATGGCTTCAAACTACAGGAAAGGAGATTCCACCTGAACATGAGGAAGAACTTCCTGACTGAGAGCTGTTCAGCAGTGGAACTCTCTGAACTGGAGTGTGGTGGAGGTTCCTTTTTTGGAGACTTTTAAGCAGATGCTGGATGGCCATCTGTTGGGGGTGCTTTGAATGTGATTTTCCTGCTTCTTGGTGAAGGACTTGACTGGAAGGCCCATGAGGTCTCTTGCAACTCTAGGATACTATGATTCTATGGGCCCTTCCTCACAGCCCTATAACCCAGAATGTCAAGGCAGGAAATCCCACATTATCTGCTTTGAAGTGGAATATATAGCAGTGTGGACTCAGATAACTCACTTCAAAGCAGATATTGTGGGATTTTCTGCCTTGACATTCTGGGATATAGGACTGTGTGGAAGGGCCCTATGATTCTAGGAGCTGAGTGGTAAGGTGCTCCAAAAGAAAACCGAGTCTTTGCAATGGGAAGTGGGCAGACTCACACTCCACCAACTCTTTAGGACAGCGTTTCTCAACGTGGTGGTTGGGACCCGGGGAGGGGGTCGTGAGGGGGTTCAGAGGGGTCACCAAATACTATCAGAAAACAGTATTTTCTGTTGGCCATGGGGGTTCTGTGTGGCAAGTTTGGCCCAATTCTATCATTGGTGGGGTTCAGAATGCTCTTTGATTGCAGATGAACTATAAATCCCAGCAACTACAATTCTCAAATGTCAAGGTCTATTTCCCCCAAACTCCACCAGTGTTCAAGTTTGGGCATATTGAGTATTCATGCCAAGTTTGGTCCACAAGTGCTCTCTGGATGGAGGTGAACTACAACCCACCAAGTCCTATCCAGTATTTTCTGTTGGTCTTGGGAGCTCTGTGTGCTAAGTTTGGTTCAATTCCATCCTTGGTGGAGTTCAGAATGCTCTTTGATTGTAGGTGAACTATAAATCCCAGCAACTACAACTCCCAAGTGACAACTCCCTCAACCTCACCAGTATTCAAATGTGGGCGTATCGGGTCTTTGTGCCAAATGTGGTCGAGTGAATGAAAATATATCTTGTATATTAGATATTTACATGACGATTCATAACAGTAGCAAAGTTAGAGTTAGGAAGTAGCAACGAAAATAATGTTATGGCTGGGGGGGGGGGCTATATTAAGGGGTCGCGGCATGAGGAAGGTTGAGCCCCACTGCTTTAGGAGGAACCCCTCGCCGCTTTCAGTGGAACTTCTCCCTTTAGGAAGAGCGTTCAGGAGCTCAGCCTGAAATCTCAAAGACCCCAAAGCCAAGTGCTGTCAGCGTTGTGAGTTTGTTTCTGAAGCAGAGCCTCTAAACCGGGATGGAGCCAGGCTTGAGGCTGGGAAGGAGCCACAGGCGTCCGAGGCAGACTTCCTCGGGAAGCAAAGGCAAGTCCTACTGAAATGCATGGTATTCGAGAAGGGAAGGGGACTGATAGAGGAGCGGGCGAGCGAGGCAGCCTTCCTCCCTTCCCTTTGGGCGAGGAAAGGCGGACCGAGAGAGGCAAGAGAGAGCTGGCGGGGGACTCTCTCCCAGCAGCAAGACCCCCTCGGCGTGCCCCAGCCCACCCAAGCCAGCCCCAGGCGGCGACAGACCGCGGCGTGAAAGGTGAGCAGAGCCAGACAGAACAAAGCGCGCCCGCCGCCCTGGCCCCCTCCCTCCCTCCCTCCCTCCGCGTTTCCCTTTCAGCCCCATTCATTCACTCAACTCATTCATTCCTGCTTCCAGACTCACCCCCAGCTTCCTGCTGCGGATTTTCACGTAGCCCTGCTTGACGATGTCGTTAAAGTTGGAAGCCATGGCCAGGGGGCCGCTCCTTCCTCACAATCCTCCTCCTCCTCCTCCAGCTGCGGAGTGCCGTCGGCCGCCGGCTCCCCAGGCGCCTCGGGCATCCAGGCAGCGGGGGTGGCAGCAGCGGAAGCTCCTTGGGCGCGTGCCTGGCCCCACGCCGCCCCTCTCCGGACACAGGAGCCCAGGCAGGCAGGCAAGGAGGAAGGGAAAAGGGGGCAGCGCGCCTGGAGCAGAAGAAGGAGCCTCCGCCGCTGCTGCTGCCACCGCCTTCCCAGCTCTTCCACCGGCTCTTCTACCCTCCCCCCGGTATACCCGTATTTGCTGCTTCTCTGCCGGCAGCACCTCCAGCCGCGCCACCCTCCTCCTCCTCCTCCTCCTCCCAACACGAAGGGGAGGGCTTCCCGCTCGCCCGCCTGCCTGCCTGCCTGGATCCCCGCCTGCTTTGCCTCCTCCTCCTCCTCCTCCTCGCACCTCACCTCACTGGCTGCCTCTGGAAGTGTCGCTCCCTATTTCCCCTTCCCCTTTCTGGTCTCTTTCCCCCTCCTGGGAGGGCACTTCTGGCCAGGCCACAGTCTTCCCCCTCCTCTGCTCACTAGGCATTTTTATTTATTTTACTTATCGTGTCAGGGGCAACCAGACCATTGTATTACATTTCTAACAGAACAAAACAAACAAACAGATAAAAAAACACACACACACACACACACACACAAAACCCCCACAAAGTTTGCAAGCTTGGTAGTTGATTAAATGTCCTTTGACCAGTATCTGGCCACTTGGAGTCCCTCTGGTGTTGCAGCAAGAAGGTCCTCCATTGTGCATGTAGCAGGGCTCAGGTTGCAGTGCAGCAGGTGGTCAGTGGTTTGCTCTTCTCCGCACTCACATGTCCTGGATTCCACTTTGTAGCCCCATTTCTTAAAGTTGGCTCTGCATCTCGTGGTGCCAGAGCACAGTCTAGTCGCCCAGTCTTCTGTGTGCCCAGGGGGGAGGCTCTCATTTGGTATCAGCCATTGATTGAGGTTCTGGGTTTGAGCCTGCCACTTTTGGACTCTCGCTTGCTGAGATGTTCCAGCGAGTGTCTCTGTAGATCTTAGAAAACTATTTCTTGATTTAAGTCATTGACGTGCTGGCTGATACCCAAACAAGGGATGAGCTGGAGATGTCACTGCCTTGGTCCTTTCACTATTGGCTGCTACTTCCTGGCAGATGTCAGGTGGCGCAATACCAGCTAAACAGTGTAATTTCTCCAGTGGTGTAGGGTGCAGACACCCCGTAATAATGTGGCATGTCTCATTAAGAGCCACATCCACTGTTCCACACTGGGCATGCATATTCAGCAGCAGAGTAGCATAGTGCAAAGGCAGATGTCTTCACTGTGTCTGGTTGTGATCCCCAGGTTGTGCCAGTCAGCTTTCGTATGATATTGTTTCTAGCACCCACTTTTTGCTTTATGTTCAGGCAGTGCTTCTTGTAGGTCAGAGCACAGTCCAGAGTGACTCCCAGGTAATTGGGTGTGCTGCAGTGCTCCAGTGGGATTCCTTCCCAGGTGATCCTCAGAGCTCGGGATGCTTGTCTGTTCTTAAGGTGAAAGGCACATGTCTGTGTTTTAGATGGGCTAGGGATCAGCTGGTTTTCCCTGTAATAGGCAGTAAGAGCACCTAGAGCTTCAGAGAGCTTCTGCTCCACTAGGCATTGCTCCACTAAGAGAGTGGAGGCAGAGAGGGCCCTTCCAAACAAAATATTAAGGCAGAAAATCCCACAACATCTGCCTTGAACTGGGTTATTTGAGTCCACACTGCTATATATCCCAGTTCAAAGCAGGTAATGTGGGATTTTATTCAGCTGTGTGGAAGGGGCCAGAGACTTCTGCTTCCAAACCCACCCCTCTCCCTTCCACACATCAAGTGTGGTGGTCACGGACAGGTGATGCTCACCAATGCTTCCTCTGTCTTCATCCTGGAAAGAAGTGATGAGTGGAGTGCCACCAGCAGGGTTCCCTCCTGGGCCCAGTCCTATTCAACATCTTTATTAATGACTTAGATGAAAGGTTAGAAGGCATGATCATCAAGTTTGCAGAGAACACCAAATTGGAAGGGATGGCCAATACTCCAGAAGACAGGAGTAGAATTCAAAATGATGTTGACAGATTAGAGAGATGGGCCAAAACTAACAAAATGAAGTTCAACAGGGACAAATGCAAGATACTCCACTTTGTTGTTGTTCATTCATTCAGTTGCTTCCAACTCTGCTTCCGACTCTTCATGACCTCATGGACCAGCCCACGCCAGAGCTCCCTGTCGGCCGTCACCACTCCCAGCTCCTTCAAGGTCAAGCCAGTCACTACTCCACTTAGGCAGAACAAATGAAATGCAAAGATACAGAATGGGGGACATGTGGCGCGAGAGCAGTATGTGTGAAAAAGATCTTGGAGTCCTCGTGGACAACAAGTTAAACATCAGCCAACAATGTGATGCAGTCTCTTTCACCATCCTGGGAGGGAACTTCTGTCCATGCCAGAGTCTTCCGCCTCCTCTGCTCCTAGGCATTGTTCCACTGAGAGAGAGAGAGACTTCTGCTTCAAAACTCATCCCTCTCCTTCCCATTCATCCAGTGTGGTGGCACGGACAGTTGAGGGTGACATACTGTCCAAGGCTTTCATGGCCCGAATCACTGGGGACCCTTCCACACAGCCCTATATCCCAGAATGTCAAGGCAACCTCTGAGGATGCCTGCCATAAATGCAGGTGAAACGTCAGGAGAGAATGCTTCTAGAACATGGCCATATAGCCCAAAAAACCTGCAACAATCCCTGGGTTATCTGAGAGCCCTTCCATACAGCCCTATATCCCAGAATAGATCCAAAAGAAATGTGAGCAGTAAGACTCTGCAGCATTGCGGTTTAACCTTTTGGGATAGTATGACTTTGATGAAATCAAAGAATATCAAGGCAGAAAATCCTTCAATACTTCACAAACTCTGAGGATGCCTGCCATAGATGCAGGCGAAACGTCAGGAGAGAATGCTTCTAGAACATGGCCATATGGCCTGAAAAACCTACAACAATCTCACAATATCTGCTTTGATCTGGGTTATCTGAGGACCCCTCCACACAGCCCTATATCCAGAATATCAAGGCAGAAAATCCCACAATAGCTCACAACCTCTGAGGATGCCTGCCACAGATGCAGGAGAAACGTCAGAAGAGAATGCTTCTAGAACATGGCCATACAGCCCGAAAAACCTACAACAATCCCACAATATCTGCTTTGAGTTGGATTGAGGACCCTTCCACGCTGCCCTATATCCCAGAATATCAAGGCAGAAAATCCCACACTCAAACATGGGGGAACTCCAGACAAGAAACCATCAGGGACAGCTAATCACCTCTCAACAAAGGATTGCCACAGGCAGTAACAAGCCACACCTGAAAACTGTGAGGTCATCAAATGCTTATCAAGATGGCCAATTGAAACAGTCACACCTACCTTCAACAGACAAGAGTTCTTTCTCTCACCCTGGACATTCCACAGGTATATAAACCCATTTTTCCTAGTTTCCAACAGACCTCACGGCCCCTGAGTATGCTTGCTATAGATGCAGGCAAAACATCAGGAGAGAATGCTTCTAGAACATGGCCATATAGCCTGAAAAACCTACAACAACCCAGATGATGGTGATGCTTCTGCTACAACATGGGCTAATGGTTTATTGCAGGCAAGGACAAACTTGGGCCCTCCTGGTATTTTGGATGTCAAGTCCCACAATTCCTAAGAGCCTCAGGCCCCTTCCTTTTCTCCCTCAGCCACTTATGTCTGAGGCTGTAAGGAGTTGTGGGAGTTGAAGTCCAAAACACCAGGAGAGCCCAAGTTTGCCCAGGCCTGGTTTATTGCGTTTCCTAGGGACTTATCCATGTTTAGCCAAAAAAAAATGACTTAAGAAAGAAAATCCAAGGAGGAGAGTAAAAGGAAGGGAAATAAAAAAGGGTTTGGGGAAGGAGTCTTAGGGTAGCTTGACAATTGTTCTCTTGTTTCATGGACTCAACCCCACTTCCTCAAATGTGGCAAAGTGGGAACCTGCGGTGCTGTAGCTTTCCTCATCTCCGGGCCACATGATGTTGATGGGAATTGTAGTACTGCCACATCTGTTGATTCCAAAGTTTCTTGCTGCTGCTGCTGTAAAAGACAGCTCGGACATTAATGCTGATGTGTTCCCAGTTGTTTTTAATGTTGTTAACTGCCCTCCAGTTGACTTTAATCCATGCATGGGCAAATTTCAGCCATCCAGGTGTTTTGAATTTCAACTCCTACAATTCCTAAGAGCCGGTAGGCCAGTGGTTCTCAACCTGTGGGTACCCAGATTTTTTGCCCTTCAACTCCCAGAAATCTTCACAGTTGTTAAACTGGATGGGATTTCTGGGAGTTGTGGGCCAAAACACCTGGGCACCCACAGGTTAAGAACTACTGTGGTATGCTGTAAGGAATAGTGGGAGTCGAAGTTCAAAACACCTAGAGGGCCAAGGTTTGCCCATGCCTTCTTTAACCCCAACAATGAAAGACCTCCAAGTCTCTCTACCCTCAGCCACACTGCTAGGCCTTGCAATCTCAGAGGCATGACTTCCTTGGTTGAGTCTACCTATCAGATCTTCTTCTGTTCCTGCTCACTTACCTTGTCAAGCATGATTGTGTTGTCTAGTAAGTCATGTCTTCTCATGATATGGCTAAAGTAGGACAGCCTCAGTTTAAAGATCATGGCATGTCGAAACTGGAGCCCCCGGTGGTGCAATGGGTTAAACCCTTGTGCTGGCAGGATTGCTGACCGACAGGTCAGCAGTTTGAATCCGGGGTGAGTGGGTTGAGCTCCTTCTGTCAGCACCAGCTCCCCATATGGGGACATGAGAGAAGACTCCCACAGGATGGCAAAAACATCAAACACCCAGGTGTTCCCTGGGCAAAGTCCATGCAGACGGCCAGTTCTCTCACACTAGAAATAACTTGCAGTTTCTCAAGTAGCTCCTGACACACACAAAAAAATCCGAAACTGTTGGGGCTTGATTTGATTTTGGACCCACTTATTTGTCTTTTCAGCGGTCCACAGAACCCACAAAGCTCTTCTCCAACACCCCGTTTCAAATTGGTTGATTCTCTTCCCAACTGCTTTTTCCGCTGTTCACCATACTTATTGTAGACATAAGAAATACAATGGTGTGGGCAACACTACTTTAATATTTAACGTTAAGTTATATATCTTTACACTTCAAGATCTTGTTTAGTTCTTCCATACCTGCCCTTCCAAGTCCTAATCTTCTTCTGATTTCTTAACTGCAGAGGCTTCTTTATAGTTAAATGACTGCAGCATTGCAGACTTCTGGAAATAAAACTCACTGGAGGCATGTAAATTAGGGTT